CTGGCACAGGGTCTGTCCTTCCAAACTTATTAAATCTTAGCTCTTGGTTTTATTAATAGTAGTAATATTATATGTGAAAGGTAAAAATGATCAATTTTCAGGATGCTCGGACCGAAGTGATACAAGACACCAGCAATTAAGAAAACTCATGTAAAAAATTAACATTGAGAAATTTCTATGGATTAATTCTTCTTGTTGCTGACTTTGAAAAAGACCTTTCTTACCTTAACAACAATCAAATAAACAATGCAATTTACCAATGGGCAGAAGACATGAACAGGCATAGTTCACCAAAGAAGGCATTCAGGTGCTAACAAACACATAAAGAAATGCTTGTGAGCATTAGCCATTATAGAGAGGCAACTCAAAAAATCATTTAACATCAACAGTAATGGCAATGTTCATTACCACAGGAAACAAAAAAATGCTGGTGAGGGTGTAGAGCGATTGGAGGTCTCACACACTATTGGTGAGACTGTAATGGTCTGTTATTTCCTTTCGAAGTTGGAAATAGAAATAACCTTTGATTTATCAATTCCATTACTAGGTATTATTCTAGAAAAATAAGAGCTGGGACACAAAGCGATATATCTAAGCCCACAATCATCTCAGCATTATTCACAACAGCAAAGAGTTGTGAACAACCTACATGCTTACTCAATTAATGAATGAATAAACAAACTATGCTACACAAACACAATGGAATATTATGTGATGTTAAGGAATAACCATGAATCTTCAAAACACCTTCTAGGTATGGATGAGCCTGGAGGACATTATGCTGAAGGAAATAAATCAGTCACATAAAGACAAAGTTTGACACTACTGTTATAACAAGTCAAAGAAAGGTTTACATGTAGAAGGAACCATTCTTTGATAGTGACCGGGGATGTGATAATACTGGTGGAAACCATCAGGTTAACTGACATGTCATAGTTCAAAAAAGCAATGCCCAATATCCTATTTTAGTGAGTAGTGACTGGGGTCTTAAAAGTTTGTAAGTGGCCATCTAAAATACAACTATTGATCTTTCCCTATCGAGGAGAAAGAAAAATGAAGAAAATCAAAGACACATGGAAACAATTAGTTCAGAGGGTTAATGGACCACACGACCTTCAGCTTCCACCACCCTGAAATGAGAAGGACTAGAATGATGCCCAGTTATTACTGCTGACTGTTTCTAAAGGGATCACATAGAGGGTCCTGCATAGATGAGAAAAATGTGAAACAAACTGAAAATAATAAAAAAGACTGAGTTTACTGATCTGATGGAGATTGGTAGAACCCCCAATACGGTGGCCCTTGGTCACCCTTCATGACTGGAACTAAACCTATCTCCATGGTTAAACTTAGAGAGAAACAAACAACAGTCCATTGGGGTGAATAATAACACCAGGGAAATACCCACTCCTTAGAACAGTCAACCGTGCTAATATTTGTCCTGGAATAGACCTCAGAAGGCAAAAATGGATAGGAAAGAAGGGCAAATGGAAACAATAAATACAGACAAGGAGTCGGAATAGTTCTGTTACACTATTGGTATTATAATCAATGTCATGAAACTAAACATGTACGAATTGTTGAATGAAAAATCAATTTACTATGTGAACTTCACTGTTCAAATAACAATAAAAAGACAAAGGCAAACACCACCTTCCTTAACTAGCAATGGTAGCTATGTATATATAGAATAAAATGAAATTCTACCCAACTTACAGAAAACCATTATGAGATGGGAGCAGACTTTGAGAATCACCATTCATTGTTTTCCTTATTATGTGTCAGATGCCATCATAATCTTTTATAGGAGCTAGCATTAAGAAATGAAATATTTTCATCTGGTTTCCTCCTAAACCTTTAAAGACTAGGTCACAGATTATACATTTCTTCTTTTCCTCCTTCCTTCTCCCAAGAGCTAAGAGGAGTACATTTGTAGTTACAATAGACTTGAGAGCTGAATCCTGCTGCTGTTTGTATCCATTGAAACAACTTATCTGTGGCAGTTACATAATCTGTGAACTTGTGAAGGAGTGGAGTATTGCCTACCAATCAGTTCGCAGCCAATGAGGCCTCTGTTTGAGCATGGCCTACTCCTGAGGATTCTGAGAGCTCCTGTCTCCCTCCCTGGAGGTGGGACACACTCTCTGCCACACATTCATGTTGATAAGCCACATGGAGCTATGTTGATGGCATCTTAGAGCCCTGGACCTGAAGGAGCCACATGGAGACCCACGGCAGTGCAGAGATGCTTCCACCACCACTGGATGCATACGACTTTCCACCCATTTGCCTGTGGTCTTCCTGCATTCTGCATCATTGAATGTCTATGAATTTGTTTCTCTAGTCAACCCAGACTAACACATTATCAAAGTCACTTAAATCCCCCGAACTTCATTTTTGTTTTCTCTTCAATGAGTTTCAGTATTCATCTTACAGTATAAAAATTGCAATGTAGTAGTCAATTACTTACAAGCTCTAGAAAGCTCTGATACTTTTAAAGTAGAAAAGAAATGGACAAAATAGATGTCTGAATAGAGGTTGAAACTTTCACTCAATCGTAGATTAGTTAGGGTAAATGGGAGAAATGATGAAAAAAAAAGAGCTGAACAGAAAATTTCTATGGGCAACTCTGAACGACAAAGTAAAAAATATAGAAGGTTTATGCACAGACCTGGAGTTAGAAAACCAAAACAGAAGAGTGAGTCCAGCATTTCTCAAGTTGAAAAGAAATTAAGAAAACATGAAAAAACTTGAGTTGAACTAGTGAAGGATTCTATGGGCAAAAGTGCCAGAAAGAATTTGTCAAGCTTCAATGATTTCAGGAGGCCGCATATCATCAAGTAGTGATGGTAGTTAAGGAAGTTTCAAGCTGCATGGAATGTATTAGTAAAATGATAATAATAATAAGGCTCTAGGAACGGAAGGAATAAAAAGTGAGATGTTTCAACAAGTGGAGGCAATGCTAGAAGGGCTCACTCATCTCTGCCGAGAAATTTGGAAGCTTGCCAATCAACTGGAAGAGAGTCCCTATTTGTGGCCATTCCAACAGAATGGAAATTATTGAACCACATCACTAAAGTCAAATTCAAATACAACTTTGCTGAAGATAATTCAAAGGTGGATGCAGCTGTGCATCAACAGGGAAATGCAAGAAACGCAAGCCAGATTCAGATAGTCAGGGAACAAGGAATATCATTGCTGAAGTCCTATGGATTCTAGCTGGTTGCAGGGAATACCAGGCAGATGCTTACTTGGGTTATATTGACTACGAAGAGTCATTAAATAATGTGGATCATAACAAATTATGGGTAAAGAGGCAATGGTTCAAACAGGACAAGGACATACTGCATGAATTAACATCAGGAAATGAGTGTGTCATAATTGTGCCCTTTCAGCATACTTATTCAATCTCTATGCTGTGCAAAGAATCTGAGAAACTGTACGGAGAACACGACACCAGGACTGGAAGAAGATTCCTTAACAATCTGCAATATACAGACGATACAACTTTGTTTGCTAAAAGAGAAGAGGAATTGAAGTGATCACTGACAAAGATCAAATACGTCAGCCTTCAGTATGTTACACCTCCGCATAAATAAAACACACACATCCGTTAAGAAACAACATAAAGAAATAAAGAAAAGAAGGAAGTTGTTAAAGATTTAATTTTACTTGGTTCCACAATTAACACCCATGGAAGCAGCAGTCAAAAAATTAAATGTTGCATTGCATTTGGCAAATTTGCTGCAAAATGCACCTTTAAGGTGTTAAAAAAGCAAGATGTTACCTTGAGGGTCAAGGTACACCTGATCCAAACCATGGTATTTTCAATTGTCTTATGTGCACGTGAAATCTGGATAATGAATAATGATGACCAAAGAAGAATTGATGCACTTGAATTATGGTGTTGGTGAAGAATATTAGCTGTATCATGGATTTCCAGAAGAATGAACAAATCAGGGAAAAAATACAGCCAGAATTTTCCTTAGAAGCAAGGATAATGAGGTTCCTTTTCTCATATACTTTGAACTTGTCTTCAGATGAGACCAGTCTCTGACAAGGACAAGCAACTGAAATAAAAATGGATGGAATTTTGACATTGTGCCCCACTGTCTGTCCCCCAACCCCCTGGCCAAATTCGGAGGCATGGAACATGCTGGAACTCTTATATGAATTTAGAGGAGTCCAGAGATGAGGACTCCTTTTGTACTGCTTTAAAGAGAAAGTCTTGGTGTCAGCCAATATTACATGGCTCCCAGGTAGCAAGCATGAGGAAGGAAAAGAATAGAGATGACCTTGTCTCATCTCTGTTTCAGTATGCCAAGAGAGGGTCAACCCAAGAGAAATAGCAGGTCTTATGAATAGCGTTAAATACACCTGGTAGCAAGTGGGTGACAACCAAGGTGCAATAAGAATATGGAAGTCCCAGGACACACATTTGATGATGATGTCCTGATGACCAAGGACCAGATCCCCATCTAAAGGCCTAGATGTCTGAGATACACACACTTTTCATGACAGAGCCCTGACTCTGTGGTAAGGAAGAAGAAACCCTACATTGACCAAGAATCCGAAACCGGCTGAGGGGTATCAAAACTTGCGGATATTAGTTTAGTACCCAGCAGGACCCACCCCTCCATAGACATACGCACACATATACTGGCTACATGTTAGAAAAATAGTCACATTTCTTTCCCTTCTGAGTGTTAGGTCTAATAGTTTGTGCCTACTTGCATCTTGTACCGAACACGGGGAGCTATTTGAGAGTTCGATGAAAGTCTCATGGGACTCTGCCAGATGAAGGCAATCGTTCTGCTTGCAGCTTTGATGAGATTTGGAAGTGCATTCAGGGGCTGGGGCACCAACCACCACTTGGCCAATGGCAAAGTTTTCTCTTCATAGCTATTAAAGAGACACATTCCCTCACTAATTGACTTCACCTTCATCCTCACCCTTCGGCTGGCTCTTCAGCACAGATGTGAGTTTGTCAGTGTACTCACCTGTTTCTGTGGACAACCTTGTTCGAGTACTTCTTTTTTCAAAAATCATGCCTAAAGACTTCCCTTGCATTAAAGGTAAATACTGAAAATAAAAAAAACTTTAATTAAAATGCAAAATATATTTTTAAAATAGATCATCTGTACCAGTGTACATGGTCCGGTATAGCCGGATGGGTAAGGTAGAATTGGAGTCATGATAGTTGGAGGAAGGAAGCATTAAAGAATTAGAGGAATATTGTATGTTTCATCAGTGCTATACTGCACCCTTGCTGGCTTGTCCCTTCTTTGTGACCCTTCTGTGATGGGAGGTCCAATTTTCTACAGATGAGCTCTCGACACACGGAACCCAGGACAGATAAACCCCTCACGAACAATAATGGGAGTAGTGATACCATGAGGGTACGGGAAAGGTGGAGGAGTGGTGGATGGGGAACCTATCACAATGATTGATGTATAATCCCTCCCCCCAGGGGGAGGAACAACAGAAACGTGGGTGATGGCAGAGAGCAATCGGTGTAAGATATGAAAACAATAATAATTTATAAATTATCAAGGGTTCATGAGGGAGGGAGAATGGGGAAGGGAAGAAAAAAAATGAGGAACCGATACCAAGGGCTCTAGTAGAAAGAAAATGTTTGAAAAGGAAGATGGCAACATATGTACAGATGTGCTTGACACATAGATGCATGAATTGTTACAAGAGCTTTAAGGGCCCCCAATACAATGATTAAAAAAAAACTAGATACTTATTTATATTTGTGAAGGAACTCAGCTTTGATACCATGGATCCCTGGTGGTGATGCAGAGTGAGTATTGGACTGCTAACCTTTCTGCGATTCAAACCCACTGGCTGCTTTGTAAAGATAGGGTTCTCATGGGTTGTAACCAATGCCAGTGGGTACAAACTGGACAGACCTTGAAAACACCTTGCGGAATGAGATAAGTTAGACCAAAAATGACAAATATTGTGTGATTTTACGTATATGAAATACCTAGAATAGGCAAACTTCCAGAGACAAAGAGTACAACAGAAGTTACCAGGCCTACGGTAGGAGAGAATGACGAGAGTTTCTGTTTGGGGTGATGAAAAAAACTTAAAACTAGATCGTAGTGAAAGTTGTACAACATTGTGAATGTTATTAACATTACTAGACTACACTTAAAATGGTTGCAATGGAAAAGTTGTGTTATATGTACTGTACTACAATAAAATAAAAAATACTTTTATGTGCATATATATGAGGGAGCTTTAAAAAGTTCATGGACAAGTGGAATGAAAAGATAATGCAATTTTCCCATAAAATTTTGAAGCCCCCCCCTTTTATAAAAACAACAACAAAACTCACTGCCATTGAGTCAATGGCGACTCATAGCAACCCTATAGGACAGGATAGAACTGATCTTGTGGGTTTTGGAGACTCTAACTCTTTATGGGAGTAGAAAGCCGTATCATTCTCCTCCTGCTCCATCCCTGTATAGTATATCCACAACCAAGGATTATGTTTTAAAATGTATTATTTACATTATTTGAAAATGTAAGATAATGTATCACTGCTTTTTGTTTCTTTCCTTAAACAATGGTTCAAAAGATTATTAAAAAGTGCGTAAAGTATTCCCTTGTGGTCTATGTAAGTAGTGGAGGGAAATAGCGACCACTATACATAATGGAGACATGATTTAAAAGGATTATTCCTTGTTTGGGCCTCAACCTGAGCACTTTTTTTGAAATACTTCATACTAGGACAAAATATCTTCCCAAACTACACCAAACTCCCTGCCATTGGGTCAATTCCAAGCTCTGGTGGTGTAGTGGGTCATGTGTTGGGCTTCCCACCTCAAGGTCAGCAGTTCCAAACCACCAAACCACTCAAAGGAGGAAAGATGAGACTTTCTCTTGCCGTGAAGAGTTAGTCTCAGAAATCCATAGGGGTAGTTCAGTCTGTCCTACAGGGCCACCATAAGATGGCAGACAGCTTAGTTACTTTAAAATCCTCATTCAGTTTTGAGCGACCTTGTGCATGCTTGGTTTGCCGATGGTTTCTTTGCTAGAAACTTGCTATTCTGTTGTAACCTGGGGCACTAAGATTCCTATTCTGAACGTGATTAAGCCCCAGAGTTCCAGCTACATTTTCATCAAGCATTCTCTTGGGGGTAGGAAGGCTTTGTTTCTCCAAGTCATTTAGAAACAATCTGGAGAGTTTTGGGGTAGGGTGGGGCCCTTCCTCCTTCCTCTTTTTCAGACACACTTCCAGATAGGCTAGGATCTGGAACAAATGTATTTCCACCAGCAAATCTTTCTCACATACAAAATGTGACGAACAAGAGCCTGAGATCTGAGGGGAACTTTGCTCCTCATTTCGGGTGTTTACAGGAATATCCACATATGAGCAATTAGAGCCATTGCTGCCTTCCATTTTTCTTAGGAACTCAGGGCACTAGCCACCTAGATTAGAAAACCACGATCATGGTAACCTTTGTCAACCGCAAGCCAGCTCTGTAAAACAGCTTCTGAACAAGCTGATGATGCCACCGCACTAATAAAGTGTGTTCCCAGCATAAACTGCTCAAAATGCAGACTGATGCTTCCAGCTAGGCACCATATCTCATCGCTTATCTTACTTGGTTTCCATTTCATTGTTCCTTTAATTATCTAAAACAACAACCACAACCCTTTAAACATTGCAACATCATTGTGATAATTTTAACATCATCCTAATGATCGAAAATCCAATAGGTATCCAGTAATGGAAAATATATCACTAGACAAATAAGTATAAGCTCATTTTTAACTTGATAGAAAAGAAAGGAGGCATGTAAATGAAATCATTCCAGACAAATGATTCCTTAGGTGCTGATCCAGTGGATGATGAATTTCAGCATTCCATGTGAAGGAAGTGCAATGACTTGTCAGCGAATAACTGATTTTTTGCTTTTTTATGTGCCCATCAGTGATAATCAATTACCTTGACTGTGTGGTTTCATTACTTAGCTACTGTTGGAGAATTTCAATGTATTCCATGTCCCTTCTTTCTTTGGGAAGGCTCTCTTTACAATTTTGATTGATAGAAATGGAAAGTAATATAAAAATGTCACATACCTCGCCTTTCTGTTTTATCCTGAATTTCAGATCTGCTGACAGCCACAGCATGTACTTAATTTCTTCTCCTGTAAAATCCTTTAAAGTGAGAAGGTCACGCCCCTTCAGTTGCACTTTATTTTGCAGTGGCTGCCCACACCTATGGAATAAAGAAAGAAAGGAGAAATAGGTGCTTAATGAAAAAGGCAAAGAAAATGACACGCGCATACTATGTTCTATTCATTGTGTTATTCTTCAAATATAACATAGCAAATTTCATGTAGCCTCATGCATCTTTGCAAAGTGATAATGCATTGAGATTGATACATTGATATGGCTGTGCTTTCCTTTTTAGGTAGATAGAAGTTTGAATGCTGAGAGGGAAAAAGAACTTAAAAGAATAGATTGATTTTTTTATTAGCTTACAATAGCCATAAGAGGGGCTTTGCTACCTACTAGTCATACAATGCCAGGCAAATGACTTTACCCTCTCTCTGCATCCAAATTCGTCATTTAGAATATGAGTGTAAGAATCTTATAGGGTTGTGGTAAAGATGAGATGATTTAACACATGTAAAGCAGATTTCATCTGACATATAAAAAAACACATTTGACACATTTTAACGATTTCTCTTGAAATGATTCCCTTGAACATGAATTTTTCTAGGGCCCAATAGAAAATGAATTTCTTTCCTTTTCTCCTCTTGGAGTTGGTTGCATTCCAATTGATCCTGGCTCATGGTGACTCCATGTGTTCACAGTAGAAGTGCGCCATAGGGTTTCCTAAGCCACCACTTGTTGGAAGCAGATAGCTAGACCTGTCCTCTAAGGTGCTTCGGGGTGGGTTCAAACAGCCAACTTTTCAGCGAATAGTCCATGATCTCACTGTGCAGGGACTCTTGTTTTGTTATTGTGTGCTGCCGAGATAAGTTAGACTTAAAAGTGACCTACATGGGCATACTTTAGAATATTGTGGTTCAGTTCCAGACCACCACAATAAAGTGAGTATTGCAATAAACAGTCACATGACTGTTTTGGTTTCCAGACCATTCGGTATGCAATGACAGTATGGAGAAATGGGAAATGATGTGAGAATTACCACAGTGTGACAGAGACATGCGGTGAACACATGCTGTTGACACAAAAGCACTGATAGACTTGCATGACCCAGGGTTGCTGCAAACCTTCAAATTGTAAGAAGCATAGTATCTGTAAAGTACAATAAATGAGGCATGCTGGCCTATAATAGAGTACAACTGGCCCACAGGGTTTCTTAAGCTGTAATCTTTCCATGAGCAGTTGCCACATCGTTTGCCCACAGAAACACTTGTGTGTTTGACCTCTGGACTTTTCAGTTAGCAGCTGAGCCCTTGACCACTGTGTCACCAGGGCTCATTCAGAGATGTGTACTTTCCTCCAAATCCATTCCTAGAGGTGTGCCCTTTTCTTGCCCCTGTATGAAAATGCAATGGGCTTTTCTGGTATATTTCAGAGACAAAAAAATCTTTGCTTACTTGACTCCTAGAATCTCAGTAAAATAATGAATACGTATAGAATAATAGCAATACAGTAATCATAATAATGGATTCTGCTCAGACCGGATTTATAATGGCTTCCTCTCTAGCAGGAAGAGGGGACGTGAGCTGTTTCCTCTGTTTCATGTCCTTTAGTTCCCCCAAAGTTGCAGCTAAGAAAAGAGGAAGAGCTGGGGCCAGAGAAACTGGTGCTATTCTAGTCATCTAGCATTGGTGGTGGTGGTTGAGGCTGATTCATTTGGGGTGCTTTGAAGGTCCTTTGGAGAATCCCATCATCACTGGGCATCTCTTTGGCATTCCTAATGCAAGTAGTTGCATTTCCTCTGAAATCCAAAGGAACACTTCTAGTTCCTTCTCCTGTTCCTCCCCGCTCCCTTCCTCCCCTCCTCCCTCCCCCTCAATCTCCGCCCCTTACCCCCCACTTCATGTTCTTCTTCCTCCTCCTTCTCTGGGCACAATCTAAAACAACCCCATGCTAGGATTCCTTTTTATTCCATAATGGTTCCTGGAGAAGTCGTCCATGTCCTTTGCTCCGACAATTCAGTACAATCTCCTTTCTTATTCTGCTATCAGAAAGGCCAATTCCTCTTATTTAGCTATCTCATGCATAGACCTGACACTAGTTTACAGTGTCTCTGTCAAGTTTTCTAGGCTTGAGATGAGGGAAAGTTATTCCCTGGTAGTGGGACTTTCAAAACAGTGATAATAATTTCCAACAATTCTCTTCTGGTCTCCAACTCCTCTATTGACTTCTCCAACCCATTTGGTAACCTAGAAGTGGTCACCAATAAGTCCAAAAACTTATTCTTGTCTAACTCCTTTGTGAGTCCTTTTTTAATGGTCTAACATTGGAAAAGAAGGGGAAATGAGCAGCCATTGGGCCTTGGCAGAAACTTAACAGGATTGATCCCATTTTAGCATTCTATTACATTGTGGTGACATCAATTGTAATTAGGGAGTAATCAGTCTATAAAATGAACAAACTTTATGCCTTCATTATTTCTACTGTTATTTTATTTAACAGTAACTAGTATTATCTATAATTAGAAATTATGCAAAACCAAGGACACATTATAGCTCATTACAGGCATTAAATATGAATTTTACTAGGAGTAACACAACTGTTAAAAAAATGATAACGCTTTCATTCTAGCCTAAGACAAAAACTTGTGCTACTTAGGATAAAGAGTTAATCCTTTGGTGAGATCTATGTAGGTCTTTTTATAATGATGGCAACAGTATAGGTAGGAGAGTGACACACTCAATATGTTGTTTTCACTGCACGATGCCAAGTAAGTTAAAAGAAAAGAAAGAATATTTCAATAAATATTCCATTTTCTAGCAGAGTTGATTATTTCATTTAACTTTCAGTAAGTGAAAACTTCTATGTTTTGGTAGAATTTTTCCATGATTAAGTCTTCCAGAGAATCTAGTAAATAAAGTAGAAAACTTCCACATGATCTAGGGCTTGTGGGTTGGTTAATTAATTGGTTGATGGATTGATTTTAAATAAGATACCAATAACATATCCAAATTCAAATAGAAATTAATGCTTTCAACTTATGTGTAGATTTTGATGAATGCTCCCATTCAAAAATGTACAATTGTCTTTAAATTTTTTTAAATGTGTGAGTTCAGTCTGGGAGAGGATTTTTAGCAATGACACAACAGACAAAGGACTTATTACTAAAATCTACAATACCCTCCTAGCCTACAAAAAGAAGAAAACAGCTAACTCCCTGAGGAATTGGGCAAAAGACTAACAGAAGTTTCACTAGGGAGGAGACTGGAGTAGCCAATAAACATATGAGAAAATGCTCCCATTCATTAGCCATCAGAGCAATGCAAATTTAAACAGCCATGAGATACCACCTAACACTCTCGAGGAGAGCCCAAACCAGAACATCAGAGAGCAACAAATGCTAGAGGGGACGTGGCAAGAGAGGAGCTCCTCTCCACTCTTGGAGGTCATGAAGGTACGTACAGCATCGGTGGAAAGAGAACTGGTGATATTTAAAGCAAATGGAAATTTGCTTACAATCCAGCAATTCCTCTACTGGGCATATACCCAGAAAAGGTAAGAAACAGAGCACAACCAGCTGTCCACGTTTCAATGTTCATTGCGATAAAATTCACAATCACAAAACATTGGAAACAACCTAAATTTCCATCGATAGAAGAGTGGATTAGAAAACTCTGGCACATTCACACAGTGGAGTACTATGCATCAGAAAAAAAGCACTGATGTTCACATGAGGCACATCATCTCATGGGAAGAGTTGGAGGAAATCATGGTAAGCGAAGTTAGCCCAGCACAAAAGGATAAGTACAACATGAGTCCACTGAGATAAGTATAACCAGCACAATAGGTATAGAAGAAAATCCATTTATCTCACATTATATGGGTTGAGGTACAGGCACTAGGGTGAGGGACAGACCAAACCCAAGGATGTACATGTAATTCCAACACAAAGAAGGGGAGGCGGGGAAAGGGAGAGAGAGAGAGAGATTGTACTGAGGGAGCTGGGCACTAATCCACCCAGGGGGAGGGTATTGTTTATGTCTCCACAGAAATGGGAATGTGGCACCATGGCACCAAACCTTGAAGGCAACATAACCACATGGAGCAATTCATGCACAAAGTGGTCCACAGGGCTGGCCTCAATCAAAGCCAAACTGACCCCCACCCTAGAAGTATGTGCTACAGAGGACAACACTAAACTTATAGGTTGGGGAGAGGGGCTGGCCTGTTATGCCCACACAGAAGCAAACCAAGAAGAGAAAGGGAGGGACTAGACCCCATACTGGTACACCTGAGGGAAATGTCCCTGCACAGAGCTGCTAAAGCACAAAGCAGACAGTAGGGCTGACAACAGCTCAAAACATGAGGTTCCCTTGCTGGACCATACCTCCACAGAGGACAATCCTGGGGACACAACAGTGAGGAGTGAGTCAGATCTGACCTCCTCCCAGTGGGGCAAACCAAGAAGGAAACATAGCAGATCAAGGAGAGCAAAGCCAAGCCATAAAGTCCCTAAGGAGCCCCCCAAATAGACTTCAGGCTAGGAGGGGTAGTTCCCGGGCCCCCCCAGGACCAGTGAGGAAATAGTCATAAAGGTCAAAGACAGCGGGCAGAACTGGAATTATGTATGCTTGTTTGTGTTTTTTGCCCCTCTCTTGTTATTCAATCTTTTGTTTTCTTTTTGTCTTGTCTCCATTATTGTTGTTTTGCCTACCTATATAAGATAGGCATGGGAAGCAAGCCTAAGGAGAAAGCAATGCGACCAATGGTTCCAGAAGACATGGGGGGGGGAGGAGGAGGCAGGGGAAGGACACTGTGAGCAAACAACACCATAGACATAAACAACACCATAGGCAATCAAAATCAACAATGAGGATGGAGAGATCCTGGTGGTGGTGGAGCAACAGCAATCTGGCTGAGAGGAATTTCTAAGAGCAAAAATTATGGATAGAGGTATAAACATAGATGTGTACACATGTAAATATATTAATGCATACAAATAAAGGCATTGGCCTATGTACATATATTTATATGGCAACACATTGAGAAAGTAGGCGCACTTTGGGCCTCTGTTCAAGCCTTCACTGAACACAAGAACACTGT